CACTCAGCATAATGTCCTCCAGGCTCACCCATTTTGAATAATATTGCATGAGTTCCTTGTTTTTCAATGCAGCATAGTATTCCATTGTGCGAATACACCACAGCTTCTCTATCCATTTGTTTCTTGATGGGCACCTGGGTTGTTTCCAACTCCTTGCTATTGTGAACAGAGCTGCGATAAACATGGGGGTGCATATATCTGCTTGGATGTCAGTGAGTCTTCATCACTTTTGAGTGATATATTATTTTTGTTTAGGTTGTCAGTGATGGATCAACTGGATTTAAAAGAAGACAGGATGCTGGAGGTTAAATTTGTGGGGGATGAGCATGTTCTTTATCACATTCTTGATAGAGAAGGAGGTACTAAATACGTGGTTATAAAGATGTTTATGTACTGCATATAAATTATTTAAAATAATTTTAATATTTCTTTCTATTTTGACATAATGCAGAGAATTTTGTCTGTAATGTGATCATTTTTTACTAGTTTGATTTTGTTTACTTCATTAAAACTTAATTTAAAAATAATGAAAAACAGTCTTAATCTAATATGAAATGCTCAGTAGAGGTAGAAGAGATATATCTATTATAGATAATGGATTATGTTTATTTGAACTACAAACATAACATGTTTTTTTCTTTTAATTAGTAGTGAAAACTTGGGAAAAATGATCAGTACTTACAATCAAAGAGAAAACACTGAATTTTTATTTATTAGCATTTAAAGAATGACAAGATAAGTAACATTTAGATAGAATTTGTACCTACTATGTTCTAATTTCTTGGATGTACTTATAGGAGCTAAATTGAAAAAAGAGCGAATTCTGCTTTTGGACAGTGCAAAAAAATCAATAAAGAAACCAGAACATAACTTAGAGGACAATGACCAAGAAGACCTAAAAGATCAGAACTATGTTGAAGTTTTGGGGAGAGATGTTCAAGGTATTTGAAGGGGGAAATAGTTCTGCTTATATGAGATAATTGCCTACAAAAGTAGTTTGTTAGACTAGATAATAGTATACCATACATTTGTACTGTGGCATTTGGACAAGAACAAACTGGGAGGAGGGTAGAGAGAATAGTGCAACAATGAATGAATGGAAACCCAAAATCTCTGTAAATGTTTA